CATCAGTGAAAAAAAAAGTGATCTTTTTATTATATTTGGAAGATGGATTTCTTATATTTTTATTTTATTTGGAAGATGGATTTCTTTTCTTTTTCTGCAATTTCTACCCAGCATCTCTCCACATTAATTTTCATTTTTCAGTTCAAATCCTAGGGAATGTGGTAAAGAGACAGTGCTCCATTGGTCCACCAGCAACACACATTTTTTTTTGTTTTTGTTTTAATTTTAATTCTGTTCTTGCCCTGACTACCCGATCCCTCCACCTAGAAAGTACCTTGTGAGACACAGCACTGTTGACTTGACATGTCGGCCCTTTTTCCCTATGGAAAGAGTCATGTAAAATCATCATGTGATGCCTGCTACAATCAGAAGGAGCAAAGGAAAGACCAGGACAGAAGCTGCCTTTAGAAATAATACCCCCTGGCCATATGACATAACCCTGGAATTAGTGACCCATCAAGTACAAGTCCCTGTAGCAGTTATATTTCAGTCTGACAAATGGCATTGCATAAAAACTCTGGATGTTTTCTGGAATAAATATAGTCAGAATATAGTTTGTCCTGCCTAGATATATTTGTTTGAATGGCTTTTTAAAGGCTTTTTCAAGGCAAGGTTGGATGGAGCTCTGAGCAACCTGGTCTAGTAGAAGGTGTCCCTGCCCATTGCAGAGAGGTTGGAACAAGATGACCTTTAAGGTCCCTTCAAACCCAAACTCTTCTGTGATTTTATGATTAAAATGTACATCATTGGCTTAAAGATATGTGTAGGGTATTTTTGGAATACTCTGAAATTTTAAAAGTACAAGAAAAAGCTATAAGAAATACAATAAGGCTACAGGAACCCTCATAGTACTAAGGCTGATTATAATACATCAAAGCATTGGGCTTGATTTATAAATCCCTGGATGCTTAAATCTTACCTGTAATACAGTTTGGTTCATTTAAGGTAGGTACTGTTTTTTGGGTTTATTTTATATATATATATATATATATATATATATAACTACCACTAAAAGTTATACTAAGATAAAATAATAATCAATTCAGGCTCTTCTTTGCAATAAAACACAGAAGTGTTTTATTGCAAGGTCAGTGTTTTATTGCAAATGCTGAAGTCAGTCCTGTACCTTCCCATGACACATCTATTTTATGGTATAAAGTAGCTCAATATTTAACTGTGGTTAAAGCTGCTTCAGTGAGGGCTCACATTTAAGTGTTTTAATGTTTGTTTTTCCCATCATGAAGTAAAAACTCAAATGGTTTCTTGTTTAAAGCGAGGGGATTTTTGTTGAGTGGGTGTTTTCCAGAATTCCTCATAAAAGTAGTTTCTCTTTGGATCTGAGAGAAAAGTTTTTATAATCTATTTCAGTTTTTCCTGGGGAGAATTCTGAGTGAGTATAGGTAAAGAAGGTTTTCTTCTCTAATGGAGGGTTAACATCAGATTTAGCCTGTATCAGTTTTTCATCTGAGACTTCTGTCAGTGTTTCCAATGTACAAATTTCCCACTTGATCTAGATCTTCAGTCCTCATGCACTTTGCAGTGCTGCAGCCATTCTCAAGCTGGACTCAAGGCTCTCTCCCTCAGATCCCCTCACTTAAAGCTTTAAAGAACCTAAAGAATATTTGAATATAAGAAAAACTCAATCTAAGGTATCTTAGCCTTGTAGCACATCTTGCTTTGTTACGTTTGCACTGACACAGGGCAACTTGACAGAGATGTTTGCAGCAAGTTTCCACAATAGAGGTGCTATAAATAACTAAAATCCAGCTTGCCAAATTGCCTCATGGAACACATTTTTCTGTGGGGTGGTGGGGTTTTGTAAGAATTCTTCATTTGTTGTTCAGGCCTTCAGAAATGACGCTGCTGGCTTCTGAAGTCATGACATCTGGCACATAAACTCCATTTGGCACACAATTATCTCTGTGGTCATGTTCGTTTGCTTTCCGCTTTGGGGATTTGGGGTTTTTATGTGCCAGCTTCTGGTTGTATCTGAAAGCACAGAGACTTCTAATATTATCATCCTCAATTTAGAGCTGAATCAGGGCTTTTTTAATACTGTAAAAAATATTTTTGTCCCTTAAACACCAAGGGAGATGCTGTCCTGGACACTGATCCTTCTTGGCAGCTGAAGGGTGCACAGGGAAAGGGCAGAGAGGAGCAGTTCTGGCAGCTTGTGCTGGTTGTTCTGCTGGCTCCCCCCTTCTCCAGAGCAGTCACCATAGACCATGGGCAGGTGGCACCAGTAACCAGGACTTGGCTTGCTTTTTATTGTATTTTTTATTCTTATTATTCAGCCCAGACTTCAAGGAACTAATTTCCTTGACAGCTGAGATAAAATCAGGTTGATAATGCAGAATGGCTGCTTAATCCCTATTACAACACAGCCTTTCCTTCTAAATCTTGCCTGTTGTTTTAAACTTAAATGGGAGGTTTGCATCCTAGACACCTTTATAGTACCCAGGACAAAAGGATTCTGCTTTATATTATGGAAAGCTAGACCAGCTTTCATTTTTGCCATGCATACATAGTGCTGTATTATTATCCAATAGAAAAGTATAAAATGCCACTCTGCAACTATCCCCAAGCTTAGCACTGTTTAAAGCTGTGTTTGGCAAGTAGAGCTGAGACATTTCTTTGTATTCAAGAGTAGCTGGACAAGTAGAGGGCAGAAGCCAAATCTGTCTTTGCAGGCTACGTAACCCAGGGTGTGGTTAAAAGATGAATTAACCACTTTTAAATCCCTGTTGGTGTCAAAAAGGATATAATTCCCAGCCTTGTGTGGCTGCCTTCTCCCCAGCAGCTTAGCCCTGCTCTCCTCCCCATGCAGCCAGCTGGGTTGGAACCTCATCCTGCTGAATCCTTTTTTAGGAGGGTTCATTCTTAGGTGGGTCATGATGTGAGCAGGGGAGTGGTGCCAAGAGAGACACGGGCAGCAGGAATGAACCTGGGGACAGGAGCAAATGGGAACTGCTGCCCCTGTGGGTGGCAGCTTCATCTGAAACTCGCCCTGTCATGCCTTTGAGCAAAACTATCTGTGGGTGGATATTCATAAAGACAAGGAACGGGAAAAATGAGTGTGTCAAAGATAGTTCCCTATGTGGAAAACATCCTGATTTGGTTTTGTTCTTCTGTGCCATTGAAATGTGGCATGCAGGTCTCCAAGCTACATTTTAACCTGTGCAAGGGTGAGAGTATAAAGGTTCAATGTACATGATTCTGTGCAGATGTGCTGACCATCAGCAATGACTTATGTTCAATGTACATAAATCTGTGCAGATGTGCTGACTCTTCAAGCCTTTAGCACCAGCCCAGTAAGGGATGGAGGGGAGGTGACAGAGGCAGGTGGGGTTTGAGTTGCCTTTGATGACATTAGAAAAAACCACAATAGTTCTCTGTGTTGCAATGTGCTTGGCATTGGTTTCTGTGTAGTTCTAATCTGAGAGCAAAAATAGTCCAGATACTTGCTTGCTTTGGCTGAGTCGGCAGATTAAAATCTCTTTTGTCTTTTCCATGGGACTTTCCTGAAGGAAGTAACACAATCTCTGCAGACAAAGCATTCTTTACAAGGTGTAAAACAAGCAGGGAAATTCTGGTTCAAGTGGCCACAGTCTCTGATTCATAGCAGGGCTGGGTTTGGGGATCCCCTGGCACTCTGCAAGTGATGTGTGGCTGCTGCCTCATCCATTCCTGTAGTTTTGGGCTCTCTAAAACAGCCAGTTAGGGAACTTTGAGCAAAGGTACGTTTTCCAAAGTCTTACATCGATTTTCTCATTTTGCTGGCAAAATTTCCCTCATTTTGCCAATGAAAGTACACAAGAAACACCAAATAATTCTATTATTTTATATACATATATATAAACGATTATTATTTATTATTACATTATTTGCTAAATATTTTATATTATAATAATAGATGATATATGATATATGATATATAATATATAATATATAATATGTGATATATAATATATAATATATAATATATAATATATAATATATAATATACAATATACAATATATAATATACAATGTAATATAAAATATAATATAAAATATAATATATAAAACAACAATATCTATAATTAATATAATATAATATAATATAATATAATATTGTATTATATTATACTGTATTGTATTGTATTATATTGTATTATATTGTATTATATTGTATTATATTGTATTATATTATACTATACTTTATTTATTATATTTATTATATTATATTATATTATACTATACTATACTTTATTTATTATATTTATTATATTTATTATATTTTATGTATATTATATAAATAATGTTAATATGCAATAAATATTCTATATTATTATATTACTTGCTGGATATATATTTGCTATATATTTTCTATTATTTTAGCACTCACACCTGCAGAAGTACTACTTGTTTCTACCAGCCAGCATCATGGGACAGACACCACTGCAAATTACTCAGTCTTTACCTTGCTCTCTTTCCCCATATCTTTTAAGTTTGCAAATTTCCTGCTTTGTGCATTGCAGTGGCACTCAGAATAGAGATGTTACCACTTGGTGGAATTAGGAGAAGGATCTCATTCCTGATTCTAGCCAAAGCTCACATGATTTAATGGAGGCAATATTTATTTTAGAGGCATCAGAACTAACAGGGCTTTGGCTCTGCTCCTTGAGCAGTGCTGTAATCTGCTTGGAAGCCAAATATCTCAGCTATGAGGTATTTACTGTGTGGCTGTCAAACACGCTATAAACTTTGAGCTCCTACAACTAATCAGCATTGTACCAATGCTCTGTGTGCAAAAATAGCTGCTTTGGGCCCTTGATGTAAAAAAATACTAATAAATAATTTTTAAAGCCTGTTTCCATCAAAGTGTTATATTCTCCAATGTTGCTGGTTTTCTCTGTATGCATCAAAACCAATGGCTTCATGTGTTTTTTTGGGGTTGTTTTTCATTTTTACTGTACAGGTTCCTGTGAAATTATGCTTCTTTTTTCTTTTCTTTGTAGGTAACAGAGACTTTGCTCCTGGTGATCCATTGGAATTTAAGTCTCATCAGTGGTTTGGAGCCTCTGTGAGATCCCAAAATGACAAAATCCTGGTAGGTCTTTGATGCCCTTCAGATGCATCAGTACTGAGATATTGCAGTGGAAGAAAATGCGAAGAGATCCAGAAAACTTAGAATTTAAACATTTTAAATGTAAATCCCACATTTTAAATTTAAAATCCCACTAATCGGCATGAATTGTCTTTTCTTCAGAATTTCTTAGCTAGGCTTTGCTTAACTCCTTATAAACAAAGCTAGGAGCATTTTTTCTAGTTTTAAGGAAAGTAGTAAAATTAGTTTGAGTTAGAATATGTTATAAAATTCTTGATAAACACTTCAAGTGTTTATCAAGAATTTTATAACATATTCTAACTCAAACTAATTTGCTTTAAGAAAATATTGTTTCTAAAATTCTTGATATAAATAAGCTATTTATAAAATACAAACTGATGGTAATTCTGCTCCACTGCTGATAGCATGAATCTCTTCTAGTAACACAAGATACATCTGCTAGGTTTTTTTTGATGCTTTTCTGTAGAAAATTCGAATTTCATTGTGTTATTTGATACCCACCAATATTTTGAAGAGGAGTTTGTTTCCTCACTGTTGTGTGCTCTGCCCTAGGCCTGTGCCCCACTGTACCACTGGAGAACTGAAACAAAACAAGAGAGAGAGCCTGTAGGAACTTGTTACCTGCTTGCTGGGTCCAAATTTGTGGAATATGCTCCCTGCAGGTCAAGTAAGTGTAGGGCTCTTGGGTTGCTTTTCTCTTTGGAATTCCTCTTGTGTCACAGTTTGTGTACATTTTGGAGCAGGATGTTTTACAGCTATTTCTCTCTTCCATGTATAGCAATTAGAACAAAACTTAAAGCCAGATCCAGATATCTGAATTCTTCTCTAATTGAGGCCCATGATGCAGACCTTGTTTGCTCTGTTGTAGGCCAGAGGAAAATCTTAGGTCCAAGAATCATTGGGCTTGAAGACTTCTGTTGTTGAAGGGACCAATTCTGTAGTAATCACTCAAGCAAAATTATGTAGCAAGTGCTTTTTCAAAAAACAACTCTGGAATTCCTATGAAACTCAAGTATTTTATCATTATTCAAGTACATTAAGGCGCAAGCTCATTTTAAAAAGCAAGGTTTTGCAAAAATAAGTTCTGATGTCCCTGTGTGCATACAGATGTAGTAATGCATTGTTTAAATTATATAAACTGTTGAACATTTGGAGTCTTATTTTCCAAATGCTTTGCATTTATTTCCTCTAGTTGGGCTGATAGATTATTTAGAAGTTTATAACCCAAAACTTGAATGCTGAAGTTAGGATTTACTTTTTATTTGCTGAAAATCATTTGTGAACAGCAGGAATAAAATCCAGCCTGTTCCAACATAACAAGAAGTTAAATAATAAGTATTAAATTAAATCATGCTAGTTACAGAGTCACACTTTCAGATAAGTGACTCCCAGAATTTCTATTCTGAAGCTGTATAATCCTAAAATTGATTCAGCCATAACAGTTCTTGCTGGGATGAATCTCAGTATGGAGATATTTTTTCAGCCAGGTATGTTCTTTTTGTTTTAAGCCAATTCAGCTTTCTTTTCCTTGCCAAAAGTAGAACTTATCCCCTCCTTTCCAAATATCTTATTTCCTGAATAGAAATTGCAAATATATTTTCCCCAAGACATTCAAAGATTGAATATAAAGGAACATGGTGTTGCTGTTTGCTTTGAATGTGCTAGGCTAGAACATGTGCTGATGTTACGTGTCGGTTAGGCCAGCCCTAAAGTTGTTACAGCATTTGGTTGGGCATTTTTGATAAAGAGAAAATACTGATTAAGGAGAAAAGTATTCCAAGGTTCAAGTTTAGGAGTGCAAGTTTACATAGGGAGATGCATTGTAAAGTATCTGCAGTACTCCAGCTGATAGAGCACTGATAAAGAGAAAAATAAATTAAGTGTTCTTTTCTATCCTATTTTTCTTTGGTAGCAACTATTGATGCAGATGGACAGGGATTTTGTCAAGGTGGATTTAGCATTGACTTCACAAAGGTATGTGATTTTTTTCGGTCAGATTTCTGTGGGTCAGCAGGCAGCTGCAAGTTAGCAAACCCTCCTGATACAGAGCACTTAGAATCACAGCTATTATAAAAGCAAATGTTACTGTTCCTGGTGGGGAGCTAAACCCACAACCAAACAAAATTTATAAATAAACAAAAAAATAACTTGAAACCACTTAAAGAGCTTTTATAGACCTGTTTCTCCCAACATCTTCAGAGCAGAAGACTTTCACCTCTTGCAGGAACCATGTCCTGAACAAATGATCTGCTTTCCCAGATTCCTGCCATACCCTCTGCTGCAGCTGGCCCTCAAGTGGATTCAGTGTGATAATCAGGATTTTTGAGGCATGGGATTGGTGTTACAGCTATTGTTATAGCTATTGTTATTTCTTTAGGAATGACAACTCAGGAGCTGGTAAACAATGTGCTTGTGAATCAAATTTGATTTCTCATCAGCCATTAGAAGTACAGGGATGTTTTACTGACTTGAGTCTCTTCTGTGCTCTCCCTGCCTGTTCTAGCTCTTTTTTTTTTTTTCAAACTCACAATTACTTTTGAAATCCAAGCACAGCAAGACTGTGCACGGATCTGAGAAGGTGCTGTGGTGTTTTATGTTGTGCAGTGAAATGGCTGGGCAGAGTCAGGACGTGTTGAGACCACGCAAGCCCTGTTTGTGATGTGGCCCTTTTTTTTGGGCTCTCACATCTCAGGATGAGGTCATATCCCATCACTCCTTGCCCAGGGCCACTCTTGGTTTTCCTCCAGAGGACGCTGCCAAGTGCAGGAGAGGGCTGTGAGTGTTTGGGTTATTTTGCACACACCCTCAGGGTCACTGTGCAGATTCCAGGCCCAGTTAAAACCAACTTTGGGCCCTAATCCAAAACCTTAGAGTGGGCAAGCAAGGCTGTATCTCCAAATGTCTGACCTAGATTTTTCTGAGTGGTGAATACAGGAGTTTTTGGGATTAAAACCTGAATATGGTTTAATTATGCAGCAAAGCCTATGGCCTAATTCAATACTTACTGAGCAAATTCCCAACCCTGGGATAGCTAAGGTGGTTAAAGTTTCATAAAATGGTTTTGTGAATTGCAGTTGTGCCAAGAAATACGGAGTGGGGGAATCACATCACAGTTATTCTGAATTAAGCTTTTCTAGTGATAAGTTACAGAAAATGGCAGAGGCAAAAGATGACACTATTTTGTGTACAGACCCAAAACCATGATGTAACACACTGAGTTTTCTCCTAAATGTGTTCCTGTTGCCATACATTTATGGGGGAAGAAAGGTCTATTAAAATAAAAACAGAATTCTGCCCAGAATTTGAAATGGGTGAAACAGTCACTGAAGGTTTTTTGTTAGCGTTTTACAGGATGAATTTCTAATTAATCACTCCTTCAAAAAGGAAAATGTGTGGTGGTCAGCAGAGCTACAGTGATGTACATGTGTGGGATTTCTTCCCACAAACACAGGATGTGCTGTCTGGCTTTAGATGTGCTTCATGTGTTTTTAATTTTTCTTTCTGTCTTCCTTTTCTTCTTCCCTTCCAAGGGAGACAGAGTGCTGCTGGGAGGACCTGGAAGTTTTTACTGGCAAGGTGAGATATATAATTTAAGTCACAGAGAAGATGGCCTTTATGATTTTTCTCATTATCCTCTCAGTCATTTTGATCCAGAGTCTTCCAGCTGCTGTCAGAGTCTTTGTCAGTAAGGAAACTGACAGAAATGTTCCTTTGTCCTTAAGAATATCTCCTGAATAATCAAGGCAACCACAGATAATGGTTGTAGTAATAATAGCAGAGATGTCCTTTGTGTTTTAAATAATTCCATGATCATTATAAAAGCGTTTTCCTGGCACATGGGATTTGTTTTCATCAGCAGGAAAGGTTTCCTTCAGCATATTTTGTTTTGCTATGTACATGTTTCATGATTTGACAAAGAAAGAGTGCATTTTCAATGAGAAATATTCACTCCAAAGAGAATTTCATTGTTTTCCTCCGATGGCAAAGATGTTTTGCATTTGTCTTAATTGGTTTGTGCTGTGGGGCACATTTTACCTCTACCTGGCACTACCTGTGTACTTTGCTCCTGTGGGATTCAGGATTATTCAGCCTTTACCTGCAGCTCTCTGTTCAAAGGAGGTGCTGCTGTAATCAGGACACAGCTGCCAAACTCTGCTGCCTGCTTTTTAATGGAGCTTCTAACATTTATTAATAGATTTTCTGTATCATGCCAGCCTACATGTAGGTGCAGCAGCACAGGAGGCTTGCTCCAGTCCTGTGTTTTAAATTGCAAACAAAATTGAATGATTAAAGCTAAACTGCAGATGCAGTATCATATAAATTAGGTTCCTGTATTCATTTTATTGCTTTTTTGGCAAAAGTGACACTTTATCTGACAAAACAACCTTGTCCTCTTTTACTACTACCAAAAAAGCCCACTTGGCTCTGAATAGATGACAATAGTATGCTTCTGAAAAGAAGATTTTTCATCCTAAATTTTTATTCCACATGCTGAGATGTAGAGGAGGAGTTTTCCCTTCACACACGTATGAATATGTATGTGAAGTGCCATTCTGAATGGGGTTTTTTGGTGATTCAAGCTTAAATTGAAACTTGAAGAAAAGGATGTAAAAGAGTCACCACCTAGTGGCTGATGAAGTGAAAATGGAGAACATGGCAATACACCGTGCTCGTCTCATTTTTGTCCATTTTATTGGCTTCTTGTCTGCCAAAACAGGCTCTCCTGTTTTGAGCAAGGAGCACCCAAAGTTCTCAGTTCTGCACAGCCATGAGTGTATGAAATCTCAGCCTTGCCTTTAAGTCCTGCCTTATTTTGGCCTCTGTTTTCAGTGAGAGCCCTGTGTGTGCTTTTGATCCAATATGTGAACATGTTTTTGCTGGAGTGGGATCCATATTTTCACTTGTGTCCTTCCTGGTGCTGCTGCAGTTGACCCCTTTTGGTTAATGTTGTGAAAGAGCCAGTGCTTCCAAGGGCAGCATTCTGTGAATGAGCTCACCAATTCTGGTTGTGGTTTTCAGCTCTTTTCTCCCTCTTTAGGCCAGCTGATTTCTGACAGAGTGACAGAGATTGTGGCAAAGTATGACTCCAAAGTCTACAGCACCAAGTATGATGACCAGCTAGCCACCAGGCCTGCCAGTGCTGCTTTTGATGACAGCTACTTGGGTACGTGGTGGGAAACCAGAAACCTCCCCCTGCAACGCTCCCTGCCAGCATCTAAATCACACAGCTGACAATTCCACATCTAACAGACAGCAAGGCAGTGAATTCCTGAAATGCACTCATTTATGTGTGATGGAATTGTAGTTATTTATTGTTTACTCCCTGCCACTGCTGGTGCTTACATCTAAGTCACACAACTAGCAATTCCACATCTAACAGACAACAAGGGAGCGAATTCCTAAAAATACACTCATTTATGTATGATGTAGTTGTTTATTGTAGTTATTTTGCCATAGGCTTGACTAAGAAAGCACGTGATGACAAAATAAATGGAAGTATTTTCATGATTTTACATGCTCTGTGATTCAGGCTGAATATGGGAATGGCAAATGCATGATTTTTATAGGAGAGGTTAGTCACATAGGTGGTTGGTTGTTTGTTATTTAAAAGCAGCTGTTTCTAAATAACCTACCAAAACAAAATAAAAATGTTAAAGAATTATGGTTTAGAAGGAAAACAGTGAGGAGTGGGAAATCATCATTTTGCTTCATTTATGTCTAACCAGGCTCAGGAAAAAAAAGCAAGGATGTACCAGGACAATTCCCAGGATAATAATTTTAAAATTTTCATCTTCTGATCTCAAATTCCTGGATACTGATGAGTTACAGCCACTCCTGGAGCTCTTCATAGTCTAAGCTGCTACAAGGAATATTTATAACAGTTCATTTTAAAATGAAGAGAGGAGGACTGTGCACAGAGACACTTGTGAACAGTGTGAAGAGAGAGGAAAGGTTCAATAAGGTTTTTAAAGCCTCATCTTGTCTCTGCAGGTTATTCAGTGGCTGTTGGAGACTTCAATGGTGATGGCATCGAAGGTAAGCCCCTTGCTTCAGTAAGAACATCATGGTAATAGGATGGGCAGATTTTTCAAAACAATGGTACAGTGCACAGGGAAATGCATCAAGTGCTAGGAATGAGCTGCTCTGTTCAGCAGTCACTGTGCCTTGAGACCTGACTGCTATCTGTGTCTTGCTTTATGTTTCAGATTTTGTGTCAGGAGTCCCACGGGCAGCAAGAACTTTGGGCATGGTAAAATAATTTGAAACATTAAAGTTTACAATAAATAAAAAAGGTGACTATTGCTGGAAAGCTGTAATGTGTATTTCTTCACATGCAGGTGTCCATTTACAATGGGAAAAACATGTCCTCCATGTACAACTTCACTGGAGAGCAGGTGGGTGGCTCTGCTGACTGTGGTGGGTGACCAGCAAGCCTTTCCTACGCTGCAGCAGTATTTAGGGTACTAGATAATAGTCTGTATATTACTGGCTTGATTGCCAAAGCAAAATTTTATGAAGTCTGATGGAATTCTAATCTCATTTAAATAAAGAAAATGCTGCCTGTTTTGAGAGCTGGGAAAGAGCTGGATCATGAAAGGGGAAATAGGAAAAGTAACCATTTGGTTTAGTTTCTAACAGAATATGGAAGAGAAACAAAAAAGAAGGGAACAAATAAAATTTGTGGCATATGTTATCATCTCCTGATGTATTTTGTGTACATATTTGCGTAAAATTGTTTGTTTGTATCACTTCAACTCACAGATTTGGTTTGAATTTTGTTTTCCAGATGGCTGCCTATTTTGGGTATTCGGTGGCTGCCACAGATATCGATGGGGACAAGTAAGTGTCCTCTTCTCCTTCTTCTCACCAATGCCACCCAACTTGATTCTGGAAAGAAAAAAAAACCTTTTATTAAAAGGTCTTTCCCACAATCTGGATTTCTCTCTTCATTGCTGGTTTAACACATCTGCATGTCTCTTTTGATAAGTCTCCACATTTGTTTTAACATTTGTAGGTTTGCTTTTGCATTTATCTACATAAATAAATGTGTATATTCACATGCTTAAGGTCCATTAAATTTTTGTATATTTGTGCTTACTTGGTCAATAAATATTTGCCTTCAGTTGAATTTAAAGATAGTTAGCTTTCATCTGAGTGTTGACTTCGGTGCTGAGCTCACAGTGCTGAAGAGAATGAATTCTCCTGCTGCTGCTGAAGATCTCTGTCCTGTTTTGGTCCAGTTACACAGATCTGTTTATTGGAGCCCCTCTTTTTATGGATCGAAGCTCAGATGGGAAGCTTCAGGAGGTTGGCCAAGTAACCATCTGCCTTCAGCGAGCCTCGGGAGGGTTTCAGACAGCAAAGCTGAACGGCTTTGAGATCTTTGCACGGTTCGGCAGCTCCATCGCGCCCCTGGGGGACCTGGATCAGGATGGCTTCAACGGTAGGATGTTGATTTGTGGCATTCACATTCTCTGAAAAATACTCTTTTGCTAAGGATTTTTTCTTCTAGGAAGCTGAGAAGCTTCAGAGAAAAGGAAAACAATTATTAACTCATTTGCTTTTCTCATGTTGTGCTCATGTGGAATGTGTTTGGAGATTGTTTGATTTGGATTCTGGTGTGAGCTGTTTTAATGCTTTGGCCAACTGGGGCCAAACTGTGTTGAGACTCTGGAAAGAGTCACAAGTTTTCATTATTATTTTTTTTAACATTCAGTAAGTATCTTTTCTGTATTCTTTAGTATAGTATAGTATTCTTTAATATAATATAGTATTAAGAAGTAATAAATTATCCTTCTGAGAACATGGAGTCAGAGTCATCATTCCTACCTTCCTCGAGGCATTCCCTGCTAATACAATATTGAATCTTGATCAGGATCTTCTGGTTGTGGAGGGTGATGCCTCAGGTTTTAGCTTTTATATTTTTCAGATTCTGTGCTGCTTTAGTGTGTAATTCTGAGCTTCATATTAGGGCATGGTAACGATTCTTTCTCTAGCTGGGGGACCAAGGACAAATGATCCAAATCTCAGGCCCAAGAGCATAAACAATGTGGACTGAAGAGAGAAAAATAAGAAGGATGGGACTTCATGGGCTAAATTAGTAATTGAACAATTAACTCCAATATGCAAATGGACCAGAACTTATAAAAGTGACAGACCCTGTGACCAGGTGTCCATTTTGTGACCATTTTGGTTCATCTTGGGTGTAGCCCTGGCTGGGCTCTTGCGCTGCCCAAGGTGCATCCATTGAGGCCTTTTAATAAATCCCTACTTTATTCTTTAGCCCAGTCTAGCCTCTGTTTTAGGTCAGCCTGCACCAGGGGAGCCCAGCCAGCACAGAGAATGTGGATCCTGCTCACAAACCCTCAGCGCTGTAGCCGTGACCGAGTGAGGGATGCTGAGGTTTAGACTCCCTTCGATGCTTGTGTGCTGCTCCCAGGAATGCCAACAGGAGTTCCATGGATGCATCGAGCAGAGACTATACCACTGACACAGCATGGACTCCTCTAGCTCTCACACTGACCATCTGATTGTTTTCTAAGCCATGACCACAATAGAAACTTCAATAAAATACCTGACTCTCCACTGTGACCTTCAGTATAATCTTCAGTATAATTTTCAGGACATCTTCAGTATAATTTTCCTCCTTCCGTTGTTTAAAGACCATTTTTCTCTCTAGAAACACAATGATGACAGAAAAGAAGGTTTTATTTCAGATTGCTGCTTAAAAATGTTCATATAAAAAGGTTCTTCCTGAGAAAAGAGTAGGGTTTGGTTTTTTATTAATTTATTATTCAAAATGGAAGAGTTTGGTGGAAATACTGCATAGCAGCTACAGCCAGAAGAGCTGAGTGTCTTGAGTGAGTAATTGGAAAAGAAATTGGAAAAGTCTGACACAACTGGACCTGAGACTCTCCCTTGCTAAGCTTCTGGTTAGTTTCTGACAGGAATGAAAAACAATAAAGCAGACAAGAATCACGTAGTGTTGGGATGGAGTTTTCCAGGAATCGGAGAACACTTTTTAATGCCCATTATACTCCAGTGTTCTCAAAAGAGTAGTGGGAATTTGAGTTCCACCAAAAATCTTAACTTTTTTCCATTCTGCTTGCAAGCTAAGTATTTTCTGTAAGAACAAAAATTACAATAGATGGTTACTTCAAATTCCCAGGTAGCTCTAATTTATTTTTGATGATAATTTCACAGTGTAGTTGAAACTGAAAGAGACTTTTTTAGTTGCTAACTGGACATAGAATCAGTGTGAGGATGTAATATCACTGCAACTATTTACAGAAAACATCAGAGAGCTGACTGCCAAAATTCCAGTCACTTGATGAGATTATCCCAAATATTGTTTGATTCCACCATACTTACATTTGGAATACACTGTAGGAAAGAGAATCATAGCAAAAGCTCCCTCTTTCAAATGGCTTTGCTGTTATTTAGTCTGTTTGTTTTGGGTTTTATTGCTCTGCCTCATTTTGGGAGTGTTAATTAAAATGCCTTCCATCACAGCATGGTGCAAGATAGGAATTTTAACTGTCTTCATGAATTTTCTAAATAGGAGTCAAAAATACAAAACTGTAAACTTTTGAGTCCTTATTCTTTTCATCTAACTTTCCCAAATTTCAGAAAAGGGGAAGGAGAAACATAATTATTCCAAGTAGTGCTTCATGTTTGCTCCTTGAACTCTCTGTTGAAATGCTGAAATTAGATCATATGTACACTTTTAAAGCTTTCCTTACGGATAGGAAATAAAATGTTAATTAGACTACCATTTTTTAATCATTTACAGTGCATACTTTTAAATTTGAGATAGAATAACTGCACTAACTGTAAATTCTCCATAAAGCATGCTGCCAAGCTATGGGATAGTCTGGATTTTAATATTTACCATTGGTTTAGGATGATTTAAATTTTCCAGAATTATTAATACATCCCACCCTTTGGAGGAACATGAGCATGTAAAGGAAATGGGAAGAGTCACACTTAGTTATGTATTTTGGCATCCATAGTGACTAACTCTGCTGTTTTAATAATCTCAAAAGCATCCCAAATGCATATGATTTCACCGCAAAAAAAGTCACCAAAGTGGAGATGGTTTTGTAGAACTATTTCTCCCCTTGCTCTCCCCATAAAAGGCTGTGACATGTCATTGTTAAACATTTACACTTTGTAGAAAAAACATCATCCAATAATAAAAGGAAAAACAGAACAAATAAAAGGAGTAATAAACAAACAAATGTTGATGAGCATTTTAAAGGCTGGTTGCACTTCCTCCCTACTTACAAGTAATAGTTGCCTCTTTGAGCCTCTTATAAGCTTTTGGAAGTCTATTTCTTACTCAAGATAGCTCAGCTACTTTTGGAGGCATAAAATTAGTAAGATGGCTTATTTTGCAGTGTTAGAAACAAAAAAAGTTTAATAAAAGGCAAAATAACAAATAGAGAAAAACTGAGTTAGGTGCAAGAAGTTTTTGCTCTTGGTAAAACACCTCACAAAAGCAATTAGTTTCTTTGTTCTCTTTTAATAGTAAATTGCTTAGGGAGACTTTTTGGCTTCTGTCTGATTAGCTATATTTAAGTTTGAGGTGAAGTCTTCCAAGTCTTATGAGGTGTCTTAGAGAGAAATTTCTAAGCTTCTTTCCTTTTTGAGAGGACAAAAGACAATTTTGTCACTCGGTCAACAAAGAGCACATTCCTATCCTGACACGCACTGAAACTGTAATATCAGAAATTATCGATTGATGTAAGCACAAACATGTTCTAATTTGTGTCTGGGGACGTTGATGATTCTTCTTTTGGTTTGCAGACATTGCAGTTGCTGCTCCATATGGTGGAGAGGACAAGAGAGGGCTGGTGTACATCTACAACGGAGGAGCGAGTGGTTTGAATGCCATCCCGTCCCAGGTCCTGGAAGGGCAGTGGGCTGCTCGCACCATGCCCCCCAGCTTTGGGTACTCCCTGAAAGGAGCCACAGATGTGGACAAAAATGGATATCCAGGTCCTCTGCCCCCAAATGGCACCTTGCAATAACTCAGTAGCAGCCCCACCCTTGAGAGACAGCCTATTTCACAAAGCAAGGTGTAATGTGTGGTGTGTCTCCTCTCTTTCTAGACTTGATTGTTGGAGCCTTTGGTGTTGACACAGCTGTTCTGTACAGGTAAGGGTCCCTCTGTGCTTGTCCCTGAGTGAAAGCTCAGTGGAGTTCTGGAGCTACAAAAAGAAGCAGGATCAGGGAATTCTGAAAATCTGACACTCCACTGTCCAAACCTTTGGAGGTGAAAAATCACTATACTGCTTTTATTAATGAGTAAAGCTATCTGCTGCCTGAAATTCATCTTTCTCAATAATATGTAGTCAGGAAAAAACATTAATAAGCTGTCTTCAAGGCTTTCTGAGTGACAGTTTTCTAGATTCTGACACAGCAATTTTCCAGATTCTGACACAGCAGCTGCAAGCTATTGCACTGCAATCCCAATATTCTCATCCCAGCTTGCTCATTTTTGGGAGAACATGTTGGCCTGTGCTATAAGTGGATAGGACTTCCTCTTTACACAGTTGTCCATGTTGTGGCTGATGGAAATGAAAGGGCACAGAAAAGCTTCATCCAGTCAATGGTTGCTTGTTTTTCTTGTGGTTTCACTAAATACTGTGTGTTTGTGTGTATTGCACAATTTGATGGGGGGGCACTGTCAAACATGGTGTTGAGTGCTCTTCAAGAGGATGTTTCCTTTGCAGGGCAAGACCAGTTATTAGAGTAAATGCTGCCCTGGAAGTTAATCCGACCATTCTAAACCCAGAAAACAAAGCCTGTTCACTGGGAGATGTAAAAGTTTCTTGGTAAGCAGAGTATCTATGTTTCCCTTTGAGGGGAGGGACTTCTTGGGTTCTAATTTTGTAAGTTTCCAATTTTGAAAGGTCTTAGGAAGTCTAGTCAGCTAATTAAAAAAAAAAAAAGAACAAACACAGATTTTTCTGAGAGAGCAGACAGTACAAACTAAGCTTTAGATGCCAGACTGAGTCCCAAAACCTGTCCTTTTATTTATTTATTTATTTATTTATTTATTTTATTAATTTATTTTATTTATTGCTAAGCAGAGTAAGGTCTTCCCAAGACATCAGCACATCCCATGGTATTTGCAGTGTTTTTACCCACTAACATACACACACTGGGGCAATGATCTGCTCTGTAAACTGATATTGCTTCTGGTTCCCAGGATGTTATCCAAACCCACTTTCCCTTCCTACTGCTAACTTTCTTTTCAGGGTCAGTATGATAGGTTTATAAATCAGACCCATCTGAATACAGAAATAAACATTCCAGTCCACAGGTGATTGTTCCTAGATGAGACAAGACTCCAGAACTTTGCACTTTCTGCAATTCTGCCTACTTGTTAATAGATTATAGTTTCTCTTCCATCAGTAGAAAATAGCTTTTGGGAATGGGCTAGAGTCTCAAAAACAGGATACATCTGAAAAGAAATAAATAGTGAGGAGTTTTAGAAGAAAATGAGAGAAAAAGTGTGTGAAATTAATTTTTTTCCTCCCAAACAGCTTCAAAGTGAAGTTCTGCTTAAAGGCGGATGGCAAAGGAAAGCTCCCCAACTCACTCAGTAAGTTCTGCTCATTTAAAAATTGGAATTTTTCGTTGTATTGTTTGTAAACATGAACACTGGTCATTGTTATTTTCATGACAAACAGCTGGGTGCCCTTTGCAGCCACTGCTGCCACTTGGGTGGCATGTACATCCATGGGACTCTCCAGCAGGCTCTTTTGGCTGCAGTGGTGTAGAAGTCATTTGACCATATCTGAGACTTTAAACATATGTTCAACTCTGTGGTTAACCAGTCTTGGAAAGCCCTTTGTATTTTACAGAATTTACAGTAACTCTCATTGAGGGGATTTTCAGACAAGAATATTCAAATATGTGCATTGCTGGGCCTGAGAGATAGAGACAAGCCAGAGGGAACTTGTCACATCCTCTTGAGATCTTGACTCTCTGACTGATATCACTGACTTTTTTCCTCAGATTCTCAGATCACAATCAGGAAAAGATTGTTTCAAACAAGTGTTTAAGTTGTGTCCAAGAGATTTTGTAGTGTGGCAGGCAGGTAGTGTCTACTCATTGCAAAATCTTTTCCTTTATTTTCTGTGGCATGTACAGAGGTGGTGATCTTGGGAGGCTCATATGAATATCTGTTATGTATTGTAAATTTTATTATATATATCAAATGTTTCAAGTAATTAGATTATCAATAGCATTTAAAAACACAAATGTTATGTGCAACATTGCTTTAAATTTAGTGGGAAAAAAATCTAACTCTAGTTCTTGCTGTTCTACAGCAATTACAAATTATAAATGTATCTGTGTCCTTAGATATTTCCAGTGTTTAAGGAGAAAGCAAAATCCAATTTAGGACAGTAGGAGTGCTTGAGAGCTAATGTAATGGCAGATTTTACGTGGAAAGAGCTGGAGGTTTTAAGAGGGGCAAGCACTATGTTTGTGTTGTAGTTGAAATCAGCTCAGTTTCTGATGGAATTCTGCCCTGTGTTTCATGGAATGAAACATCCCTAACCCAAACCCTTTGTCTTGGGCAGATTTCCAGGTGGAGCTGCTGCTGGACAAGCTGAAGCAGAAAGGAGCCATCAGGAGAGCTCTGTTTCTGCACAGCAAACAGCCCAGCCACTCCAAGAACATGACCATTACTAAGGGGGGCAAAATGAACTGCGAGGAACTCGATGCCTTCTTGAGGGTAAGCAGCCATTCATGTTCTAGGCAAATAATTTTTGGTGCTTTGCCTATTATAAATTCATTGTGTTAGGTGTTTAAAAAAAAAAAAAACAACAAGAAAAAAATGCTAGAAAAACTTTGTTTTCAGTGGGTGGACCTGAAATTACTAAAACTATACATCTGTCCCAAATTACTGCTGCTGTCACAGCATGAATGATGCATCTTCTTGTGGCTAAGATCCTGGTCCCTAAATGCATTGGAAATTCAATTCAGGACTTTGTTCTGGACTTCTTGGATAAGTCATCCAGGCACCAAATTAATTATAATTTCCAAGGAACATGAAAGTCAATAAGCAGAGGTTGTCTCCTCTACTTTGGAGGTTAAAAATTGAAGAAAAATATGGACCTGCAACTGACAAGCCAAAATAAGCAAACAGCAGAGGAGATGGAGAAAGTTGAAGTACTAATTTTGCTTTTTCTCCGTCTTTGTTTTCATCCCCACAAATGTGAACAGATGCTAGCACAATTTAAAAGTTTTAATGAGTAGCAGAAACATTGTGTGTAGCTATGTAAATTCTATGCAGCTCAGATTTATTTCTGAGCACTTATAAATCAAACATAAACAATACTTGCTTCCCACTAAAAAAAACCAACAAATACAAATGCTGGCAATCTTTAGGGATTCATGGAGGGTAGGTAATACTTTCTTTGACCTGACTTTTGTGAGCGGGTTATATATGTAATTAGACATCTCAAATCTCTGGGTTAGTAAAGATTTAGCACATTTCCACCTGATCTTTTCATAAAGAAAGTGAGGACACATGACCTATGTGAAATGATCATGAATGGGGTGTAAAACCAGTTTAAGACTATAGGTAATCAATAAGCTTCTGCCCACAGAAGGCATCTTCTGCAATAAGATCCTGAAGTGAGCTGTGCTAGAGTCAGTGGTTTTCATTGCTCTCAGAAAGGAAGCAGAGTTTACTGAGCAAATCTGTGGCTGATGTAAAGCTTAGAGATGGTTTGTAAGTTCTCTGAAAGGCAGGATCAACATTTGATAAGCAGAAAGATTTCCAATGAACAGCATGAAAGTCAGCAACATCCAAGTGCCAAGTAGTAATTTCAGGAAGGAAAAATTGTAAGTCCAAAGATGAGTATCTCTGAGGGGTCTTAGAAGCAGGCTGAGGTTAATCTGACAGGAAAGAGCAGAGCTGTGTCGCCTTTAGACTCTACTGGATTTCCATGACTTAATATTTCTGTGTGCTCCAGTTTTCCATGTTTTAAACAGGCATGTTACTGCTGAAATTGTGCAGGTTTTCTGACAAGAGATTTTCTGCTTTGAAAAGAGCTCAGAAGTTTTAATGTTTTGGCCTCTCCATTTTTACTACATTTGAGTTGTGATTGAAACCTTTGCTTTCCCCAGGATGAATCTGAGTTCAGAGACAAGCTGACTCCCATCACCATTTTCATGGAATATCGCCTGGATTACAGAACAGCTGCAGATGCCACAGGACTGCACCCTATCCTCAACCAGTTCACTCCTGCCAACATGAGCAGACAGGTACCCTGCTCACACAGCCTGGCATCAGAGAACTCAGAGCATTGCTTCATCTTAGGGAGAAAATCAGACTAGTCGTGGAAGTGTAATAGTCAAGGCTTTCATCCATTCTCATGCTATGCTGCTCTGTGTACATTATGTTTTCCCCTGTAGTTCTATTAAGGTAACAGAAATAGTTGTTCTGCCCTTTTTTACAAATTTTTCCAGTTGTTTGTAAAGAGCATCAATCCCTTAATATGAAGGGATTATTCAAAGTATGGAAAGATGGTTAAGGTTAAGTCCTAGAATTGCAGTAGGGCAGGACATATAAAAACTCATTTGTTCTCTTCTGAGACTAATGGCATGAAAACATTTCATAACCAGCTATGTGGAATTTCTTTTAATGTGCTTTTAAGGTGAAACAGTACTATTGAAAATGTTAGAACAGATGAAGGAATTATTACAACAGTATTTGTTTCATTTTTCCATAGGCCCATATCCTGCTGGATTGTGGGGATGATAACATCTGCAAACCAAAGCTGGAGGTGTCAGTAGAAAGGTAAATACATGACAAAAATACAAGGAGAAGCAGTTTTCCTACTTGAAGTCTAAAATTCAGTAGCTTGTACTACTTTTATTTAAGAGATCTGTTGAAATAAGCAGGACTCCTCATTGCCTGCAATCTAAACTCAGGCTTATATGCTTTAAAGAAAACCCATTTTCTGCTTTGGAACCTAATGTCTTTAGCATGTAATGCACCACTCCCACTTTCACATCAGCCTCCACCATAAGTAGGCCATATTTATTATTTATTTATTTATTTGCTAAGCTGGACACGTGCAGTGAGAATAAACCACTGCTAGTTGCCATTGTATTTCTGTTGTGTTGTTTAACATCAGATAGACACATGAAGATGTGATTTTATCCAGCAAGGGGAGGAGTAGGGCTCTCTTCTCACATGTATGAAAAAAAAAATTAAAAATATTTGTTGGTATTGGTAGTATCTTTTATCAAACCTGAAACAAAGAAACAATTTGCCAGTGGTAATTCATTCATGAGTCTGAGCTTTTTTTACTTTGTGAGGTCTAAACTCTCTCTTGCTGGATTATCTCATAATCTGTTTTTTAATGCATTATAGCATTTGCACATTGTAGATAGGACACTTCACAAGCACTAATTTATGCAAACACCTCAGTAACACTTGACATCAGTGCAGATACCCTGATGTATGCTTGTAGCTGGTGAAATGAAAACACTTTGTTTGCTAAGATAATCTCTTTGTGTCTGGAACCAAAGGTATTGCAGAGGTCTTGGCTCTATTCTGTGTAGCTGAGCCTTCCCTTGAGTTTTGTTATAAATATGTGCTTGTACCTCTGCAAAGTGGGCCTGTAATTCAAAATGTGCACAGGGATTTAGCTGCCCATAATGGTTTGTTCCTTGTGGGAAAAAGGTGTTTGTGGTTTTTTGTTTTGTGGTTTTATAGGCAAGATTCTTACAAAAGAACAGGTAATACTTGCTCCATTTGTACTTACTTGATCCATGTAATACTTAATCTATTTGATTATAGACAGAGGGTTTTTAAAAAATATTTTTGAGCTCTCTTGACACTCCTGAAGCACAGGCACTGCCTCCAGATTCCTCTGATATCTTTCTGAAATTTCAGAATGTCTCTCGTTTCTCTGAGTTCAGCCACTTCCCTGCAGTGTGAAACCCCAATGCAGAGCCGATTTTCACACTGTTTCCTTGCAGTGACCAGAAGCAGATCTACATTGGTGATGACAACCCCCTGACCCTGATTGTCAGTGCCCAGAACCAGGGGGAGGGAGCCTATGAGGCCGAGCTCTTCGTGGTGGTTCCTCCCCAGGCGGATTTCATTGGCGTCGTTCGCAACAACGAGGTGAGACCCCAGCTGCTTCTCGGGAGTCATGCTTCACCTGCTGCTCTGGAAATCTCTAGTGGCTCCTGTTATTTCAAAGCACTGAGAAATTATCCATTTTTTCAAAGCCCCTTTCTTTTATAACCTTGAAAACAGGTCTGTCTTGTATCAGAAGCATTTTTCTCCTTGGAGACTTCCACACTCAGATTTTATTTCATTTTATTACTTGGTTGAGAAATGATATTAAAATTAATACAGCATATCTAGGACTTCTCTCCAGCCTTTCATCCAGGTGCTCAGATGTAACGAAGGGCATTCCTTAATGTTTCTTTGTGGTTTATTGCAGGCTTTGGCCAGACTGTCATGTGCATTTAAAACAGAGAATCAGACTCGCATGGTGGTTTGTGACCTGGGCAATCCCATGAAAGCAGGAACTAAGGTAAGGCCTGGTCCAACAGGTGTCTGGAAGCTCACCCAGGGGGCAGGTGGCATTTTCCTTAATCACAGCAGTGTTTGGGCAAGAAGTTTTCTCCCAGGAATTTAAGATTACACCTGACATTTAGCTGCCCTCATTTGGTTCGTACAGCAGTAGTTGGTTTTAACTTTTCAGCTAAATTAAAGGCTGGAAGGAATGTTCATGACTTTTGTGATGCAACTCAAAAGGAGTCATTCATTAAATAGTGGAATGGAATTAATGGACTTTGGTCCCTCATGAATTTTTTATATTTATCTGACATGTATTTTTTAGGATATAATCACAAGCTAGCTCACAACATTTTTTCTCATAGTTCATCTCCTTTCTGCCTACTTTCATGAGGAAGGACAGAGTTTTGCCTAGTTGAAACCTCTACAATTCCACCAAATGTAGCTGAAATTGGAAGAATTAAAAAAATTATTAGTGAGACAGATTTTAAGGTGATATTACATAGTAAGTCTTATTTCCTGAGGAAATGAAGTGAAAATCAGTCACAATTATAACAATTTCATGATGCTTTTCTTCCAAGAACCATCTTGTATAGATGAGTAAATACTATTTCCAAAATCCTTTGAAGTGCATCAAGCTGAACTGCACAGATATTAAAGCAAATATGAATTGACTTAGACTAAACCTTGAGAATTAACTTTGAATCATTAATGTGTTCCTACTCTTTAGATTACAGTATTTTTTGCAGCACCTGGGAAGGCTCAGTTATGTGTAGAAATGGCTGAGGTAAGGGTGGGGAGCAAGATACAATCCTTAGTTTGTGTTTTATGGCTGTGATCTAAAGAGAGAGCAGTACATTTCCAGCCAGGATGAACCGCACAACTGGAATTTGCCAGTTCTGTGTGTGTGTTCTCTCATCACCAGGAGTCTCAAGCCATTTCACTGTAGTCTAACAGCACTGAGAAGCTTTTAATGTGTGTTTTATTGTGCTTCCAACTGAACCACAGTGGTTTTGTTCCCCCAGCTCCTGGCTGGCCTGCGTTTCAGCGTGCACCAGCAGTCTGAGATGGACACCTCTGTCAAGTTCGACTTGCAGATCCGGAGGTATGGAAATCTCTGGGGATGGACCTCTTGTCTTTGCCTTGTATTGGCTTGAAAAATAACCACACTCAGTTAGGTTTCCTAAAATACAGGAAAAATTAAGAATATTTGTATGTGCGTATCACTGTGCTCTGCTGACTTTTGTGGTGCCACAGAACGGCTTTGTGTTTACAGCCCTCTTTTAAAAGTGATGCTTGAACTCTGAATTCCTTCTGAATTTTATGTATTTAGAGGAGGAGAGACTTTCAGAGCAGGCAGTGTATGGGATAGTCAGAGCAGAAGTAACATGCAATGAACCATCACAGCGGCCAGCCTAGAAGAAAATTAAAAGGAACAGAATTAAATTAATTAATTAAATTCCTGAAAATTAAATGGAACAAAACAGTAGTTTTCCTGTTAATTATAAGATTAGCACTGTCATATAAATCTGATATAAAAATCTGAATTTGTAACTTCTGCAGATGATATTTAAGTTTGGAGATGTGATCATTAGGAGTATCTTTAGCCAATGCAGTTTTATGTTGTCTTTAATGGACAGTATGAATACAGCTTTTTGGTTTTCTCCCATTGTGGACCAAAACCACCTTATCTTTCCATTTAAGAGATTTTTAGGTTTTTTTTTTAATGTAGTGAATAAATTAATCTCATCCACCTATGCATCTGTCATCTATGGGAGTTGGGAAAGATTAAAGCTGCCATTCTATTTTAATGATGGAGTGTTTAGCCATACCAACCAAAGGCCTTGGCACATGAAATATCTCTTTGATCTCCCTTTGCTCTCTGTTGAGTTTTCCCTTCTCCATCAGCTGGTAAGGTGCCCTTTGCAGAAGCAATCTGCTCTGGGGTGTCTGTCCCCTTCCTCAGGCTGCCAGCAGCCACACGCTGCTGTCCCAGGGTGAGAAACAGTCAGGGAGGCTGCTCAAGCCATGCTGGTCTCCTGATGGAAGAGAAAGGAGGTTCCTGTAGTGTTTCAGGCCTTTTGTGGGAGGAAATTCCCTCAGTGACTCCTGGGTGCAGGAAGGGTGAGCAGAGGTGCCATGGGACAGAGTAATCACAGTTCCCAGTGACAGGCATCAGCAGGGATTATCTGGGACAGCTTTTAGGGATCACACCGCTTGGCTTAAACTCACCAAGCTGGATCTGCAGCGCTGGCTCAGTTCCTGGCAGAGCAGGTCCAGCCTCTAAAAAAAAGAATGAGGTATTTACAGGTCAGGAGGAAAACACGGCTGCAGGTGTTTGCTGATTACGGCAGCACGGGAGAATGATCAGAAGATTCAGGATTCTTGGTAAAGGAAAATGTTTGTTTAAGGGGACAGAATAATTGGAGGAGATCAAGATTCTGCTCCCAGCACCATTTTGAAGGGGGAGTGTTCCCTGTATTTTCTTACGTGAGAGCTGCAGAACAGAGTCAGCATTAACTCTGAGTCCTTCACCATCCTCTCCCTGCTGGGGCTCCATGCATTTAGGTGAGAACTTGCTGGAGTCTGGTCCTTAGATTTTAGCAACTGGGCTTTCCTATAGGGGCTCATACCATTACTTTGAAGTGTGGAGGGTTTTTTAATTAAATGCTTTGCTTATTTCATTTAAGAATTTACCTTTTATTTTCCCTGCAGTTCCAACCTGTATGACAACCTGAGCCCGGTAGCATATTATCAGGCTGACCTTGCTATTTCAGCAGCTGTTGAAATTAGAGGGTAAGTGTATTTTAATACACACTTTTAAGTATATTTTAATAAACACTTTTAAGGAGCTTTTGCACATCTGCTTCTCTATATTCACTGAACTTCCTTTCAGGTCCTCATAAGTTTTCCAGGAAGGTTTAGGGAATTTTGAATCATAAAGACAATATGGTTTTTCTCTAGCCAGCCTTTGGACTTTTGGATCTTAAATAATTCTAAATCATTACACAGTTTATTCCAAAAAGGAATATTGTGCCTCCATTACTAGAGATATTTTTTAGAAGAAGAAAAGATCACCCCTCTTGCAGCTTTAAAGTTTGCAGCTTTACATTTCTGCAGGTCACTCTTCTCCTCCACAAACTGACTGGGGCTTCATCTGAAAACCCCTGAAACCAAAGTTGAAGTTTCTATGGGATTTAAGTTTGTAATATCCTCACCTTCAATCTTAAGCATAGTGTTAATATTGTAACGACTTGGTTACATCTCTACTTCACACCTAAAAGAACCAGTTAACTTGGATTCCTGATGCATAATTTTTTTAAAATTTTCCACTACATTAATTATTGTGATGAATTTGTTCAGTATCTGAGAGGTGGGGGATGGCACACTGGAAAAGCATGATTGGTATCTTCACTGCTTTCAGGGCTGAATTTTTGTTAGAATTGTACTGCTAAGGCTGTACATCACCAATATTTCTCATTATCACAATATTTCACACTGGTTTTGTTTGGATGACATGTGTGTCCTTTATCTTTTTTTAATTTAAAGAACAGAACTGAACATTTAATATTCAACCACTTCTGTTCTTTCAGGTTTTATACAGAGGATGAAGAAGGGGAGATTGCATTTTAAGCATGCTGATTTTTTCCTCTAGATGTCCTAGAGAATCCCATTTATTTTTTCATGCTTGCTAACAACACCTCCTTTGCTCTGCTGTTTAGTGTCTCGTCCCCTGACCACATATTCCTTCCCATTGCAAACTGGCAGCCCAAGGAGAACCCTGAAACAGAAGATGACATTGGGCCTCTGGTTCAGCACATCTATGAGGTGTGGAATTACTGCTCATTTCTGTGACGTGGTTCTGTGATAAATGAAATGAAATCTTTTGGTGTAGCTTTTCTCTGGAGTAAATTATGATTTTTTTCTTTTTTATTTTATTTTTTTTAATGCTGGGCCAATAACTGTTATATCCACGAAGGGTTGGAATGCCTGAAAATAGTATAACAGGGGTTGACTGTTAAATACCTAAATAACTACACATATTTTATTTTCTTGCCTTTTGAAATCTAGATAAAACTTTTGAAGTAATGTGAGCTCAGGAAATGGCTCATGGCTGTAAATTATTGTGCTCTATCTGTTCATCTGAATCACTACTCTGAAATCATTTGCTGTGAAAGAATTTTAAGTATTTAAAATATCCTTTTAAGAATTATCACAGATTTAATCTAGATTGTTTAATTAAGCAAACTTACCAAGAGAACTGTGTGAATAATAATAGTGAAAAGTTTTACTACTTTTAGATAAAGTTTTGATGCTGTTGCCATAAGTGGTTGGGGGTAGGGATAGTGGCAGTATCACATTTGTGGCTCAAATATAAAGTAACAATTATATGCACATTAACAGAGAGAGTAGCATCATTTATTTACATCTGTAAATTTTATTTTCATAATCAGCTGAGAAACAATGGTCCAAGTGCATTCAGCAAGGTGATGATGACTCTGCAGTGGCCTTACAAATACAAAAACAACACACTCTTGTACATTGTGCAGTATGAAATTGATGGTCCCATGAACTGCACTTCTGACATGGAAATCAACCCACTGAAAATTAAGGTAAGCAGGACTTTCCCTTTGAGTGGAATGAAGTATGTCTGGCTGTTTTGTGAGTTCTCAAAATAGCCAAATCCCTGAGAATATGACAAACTGGGAGAGTTTTTTATCTATGGCTGATGAATAAGTCTACATTTTTCCACACTACCTGTCAATGTACATAGCAGGTGAAATAAAAGGTAAACAGCAGCTGAAAATTATAAACTCAAGATCAATTTGTCTTGTTTCTTTTTATTATGGGGTTTTCTTCCTTTTTTTTTTTTCCTTTTTAATTCAAGGCTGTTCTATATGAGTTTTAAGTCCAAAGCAATAGAATTATAATCAATGTGATCATGAACTAAAACCTAAAACAAACCAGATGCTTCTGGACTCTTTATGTAAATTTTCTGGGTTTTGTTTCTTGGAAGAAAATGGTATTTTTTTAATATTATCTATTTATCCAATTGGATGAAGTCATCCAATTTGGATGAATTTATCCAACTGGATAAAGAGATAATAGATAATAATAGATTCATCCAATTTGGATGAATTTATCTATTCATCCAAAGATCACAAAGGACAATAGGGGTTAGCTATCAGTGCCAGCAAAACATGGGATTTACAGAGCAGAAGAAACTCCTTTTTCCTGGGCTGGACTAGGAGAACAAACACCAGATAAAACCCAGCAAGTTTAATTGAGTGTAAGGAGATTTGATTTCTAGGATAGTTTAGAACAAGCAATAAAAGTCAGAGTGTTAGTTCAAGAAGAAGTCAGTGTGTTAGTTCAGGAAAATGTCAGTGTGTTGGTTCAAGAGCAAAAAAAGGGCTGAGGGAAGATATTCAGTGTATAGAACAACAAAGAATGCTTGGGTAACTTTGATAACCAAACAGAAACTTCAGTGAATATATAAATACAAAGTTCCTGTGCTTCTGCTCTGTGATTTGCGATGATTTATTTTCAGACGGAATCTGAAGAAAAGCTAGGATAGAAAGAGACAAACTTGCATGTAGGTGTTTTCTTGGCCTTCAGCTTGAAGCCTGCAATGTGCTGAGCCACTGTTTGCGTTCCCTTGGTGTGTGCTAGGTTTCTGCTTCCAAGGAAGATGAGAGGAATGAGACCCTTGGCAGGGAGGAGCAGCGCGGGCACCGCGTCAGCCGGAGGGACGCGGCTGCCGCGGAGGGGGACGTGCACACCCTGGTGAGTGAGCTCCCAGCATCGCTGGGCTGCTGCCAGCACTCCTGGCCTGCTAGGAGTCCTCAAAAACAAATGCAAGGAAGAGTTTTCCTCCCTAAACATGACGGGAGAAAAATCTCTAATAGGAAATTAGCATATTACCATATCGCTGCATTTGTAACTGCAAGGTATAAGTAATTATCAAATACTGGAGGTTATTTAATGTATTTTGATAGTTTATGGTGCTTTCCCGATGTATATATATGGGTAAAGTAGTGCCATTAAGCACTTTTCAAATATTTTCATACTTGGAACCCCCTTACTTTTATTCACAGGGCTGTGGAACTGCTGACTGTTTGAAGATTGTCTGCCAAGTTGGCCACCTGGAGAGGGGAAAGAGTGCAATATTGTATTTAAAATCACGCCTTTGGACCCAAACTTTCATGAATGTGAGTGACTGGGTATATTCTGTTGCTGTTTCTGAAACATTTAAAGTGATTTTTGTACCCACATGCAATGCTAATTTTGTTTTTCTTGCGCAGAAAGAAAATCAGAATCATTCCTACTCTCTGAAATCATCTGCTTCCTTCAGTGTTATAGAGTTCCCTTATAAGAACCTTTCCTTTGAAGATATTCACAATTCTACAGTTGTAAGTTATTTGTACCCATATACAATCACTTCAAAATTAGTGCAAAGACAGTTACTGTTGAGTAACACTTTTATGACTTGATATAATTTTAATTTTATCAGCTATTTATTTCATGTATTTATTTCAGTTGTGCACATACAGCTGAGGGTAAAACACACTGGAGCTGACAATATTTGTGGCTTGAAAGAGTTAATTGAAAATGAAAAAAAAGATGGCGAACAGTTCTCATGTTCCTGTTAATGCCGTTGTTGTTAGAGAAATATTTTACTTGAAATTTGCTTTCAACTGTAGTAGCACTTGCAGCTTGAATAATGAACTTCCATTATATTATATACGGCACCATATGTCAACTTTATATGTGAGGGTGGAACAAAAAGACCTTCTGTGCCTCAGGGGGTTTCAAGGGGAAAGAGGAGACAGGGTGCAAACAGAAAGGAAGATATATTTGGGCTGGCAAATAGAAAGTTTTTTAGCATTATAGGATTAAGAGATCTTAAGGAAAAGGTAGAAAATGATTGTGATTAACTCATTTTTGGATATGGTTTCTAATGCCTGTTATTAGCTGAGGTTTTCTTCTTTCAAGCCTCATGGACTTGATTTTTTGTTTCAAAGTATACTGCCTTTTAAGAAAAAAAAAAAACAAAAAAGGAAAAGCCCTTAAATATTTTTCTCTAATTCCAAAATATTTCCAGATTCCTACAGTTTTACTGAAAATCATCAAGAATTACAGAAGACATGTTGCCATGTTACCACTGATTACAAAAAAGCAAACCCAGGCAAAACAATCCCCAACCCCCTACTATAATTTAACTTTAAAATCCTATTAAATTTGGGTCAGTGAAGTCTTTATGTCACCAAGAATCTATGGCTTTCCATTCATTCTGGAGAGAAAAAGTAATTTATACTGGATTAAGATCATAATCATGATAGGATAAAGGTACACAAGATTGAAAATGCATGGATGAACTCAGCATGTCACTGTGGTGCAAAATGTGATTTATTGTGTTTTTCTGTCAGGTTGCTACAAATATCACATGGGGCATTCAGCCCCAGCCCATGCCTGTGCCAGTGTGGGTTATCATTCTGGCTGTGCTAGCAGGGTTACTGCTCCTGGCTGTTCTAGTGTTTGTCATGTACAGGGTAAGTCCTGTGTCTGGGAGGGGTTTGTGTCATTTGCTTTTCCCTGCTAGTGATGTATTATTTCATATAGTACTGGCACTTTTCAGAACTGCCTTGCTCCCCATATCATCTGAATCTGCTAAGTTTTTGGAATAACTGTTAAAGCTTTTCAGCTTTGTCAGGAAGAAGCTGAATAGAAGAGCATGTCTGTGATGGTGCTGAACTCAGTTTTAGTTTTTTAATATATTAAAAATATTTACTGTCTTTGGAGGTCAAAAATGGGGGGCGAGAGTGAAAAGACAGCTTAATCAGTTAAGATCTGATGATGAAGGAAAGGGCAAGGGTGTGTGTATGTTCTGCAAGTCACAATGCAATTTCTTCCTTGTTCTCTGAATCACAGATGGGCTTTTTCAAACGTGTGAGGCCACCTCAGGAAGAACAAGAAAGAGAGCAGCTGCAACCACATGAGAACGGGGAGGGAACGTCAGAAGCTTAAGCAGAGTTTTATCTGTAAGACATTCTCAAGTGTACACTTGCCTACATCTTGGTTACAAATATTGGCTTCCCCCTTCATGAGCAAACACTCAGCACTGCAGAGCTGCTGGTCTCAGAAGGCATCAGCACTGTGTGCAAAACAAGGGCAAAACACTTAAACCCCTCTCCTGCATTAATGCTGTTCCTGCCTGCCACTAACACACCTGCACTGCCCCCAGGGACAAACTCCAGTGACAGCAGTGCTGGGATTCTGCTTGCTGGGACACAGGACACGTCATCTTTTCTGGTCCATGCACTGACTCTCCATGAATTGCTACCCAGATTCTGCAGTTGCCCTTGGAGCCAGCAGCCTCCAGAGGTGCTGGCTGGATTCCATGGCTGGTTTTGGTTGGATTTGGTTGGAGTACACTACATTTCATTGCCTAGCTCTTGAAAGTCAGTTGCACAAAAAAAAAAGAAAGATGAATGTAGCTTGTTTTACAGTACTGAAGAATGTTCTTTACCCATTAGCTCTGATGATGACTTTTTTCTCCTGCTCAAGAGATAGGAAATATTCAGTGGAATCATTCACAGCTGATGCCTGTTCTGCACACCAATCATCTGTCTTGTGGTTTCTCTCTAGAAATATTTCCCTTATAAATACTGTTTTCCACATCCTGGGGCTCTCACTGTAGGGATTGAGCCTACAAGCCCCAAGTGAGGGATAGAAATCTGGGGCTGATGTACTTTCTGTGTGGCTTGGGGAAAATATTCAGGGCAAGATCCCAAGACTCTGCTGTGTATTTCCACAGTGCAGGATCCAGGTGTTTCACAGAGTTCTTGGCTCCATGGATGCATTCATGCCCTGCCAGGGACAAGATGCTGGGCTGTGCCTGCCAACAGACATGTCTGAGAAAACCCTTGATGCCCACAAGTGAAACCTGTGCAGGGTTTGAAGGCTGTAAATTACTTGGATGGTATTTTGGTTCCTGGCAGAGCATGGAGGGGCACTGTGTGGCACAGGTTACCTGGTGCACTGCAGGGAAGATATCAATCCTCACTTTCCCTGCTTGCCCATGCCCAGGTGCAGGATGGAGTGGCACAGGGGCTGTTCACAGCAGGCTCTCTGCCAGCCACATCTGGATTACACCTGCCCTTCAGCCACTCTCACACCTCCCTCACCTCCTGCCCCCAGAGAACAGTGAGTCCAATGAAGCAGGGGAGAGCTGGCAGTGCACAAGGGTTCAAAAACTAAAGGCTGATTTGGCTTGTTTCATTTCACTCATTCATTGTTTCATTGGATTCATTCATTGTTTCAGTCCCTGCATGTTTCATTGCACAAGACATTTCATTGCACAAGACATTTCATTATGTTCAATGCATTTCATTGCCAGAAAAGACACTAAGTATTTGGATCCATTGCTGGTTTTTGAACATGCCAAAAGGTCAGTGGTTTAAAGCCATGGGTTTGCATCACTCTCAGCTTATTTCCCTCACCATTGGTGTAGTGAAAGGAAACTTTTTACTCTGATTGAGACAAGAGCATTGTCTCTGCATTTCAGCAGACAAGGAACTGCAGAGCAGGAGGTTGTTCAGCTTGCAGCCACAGGTTGCACAGATCCTACAGTGGACATACCTGAACCATTACTAAGGTGCCTTCTATGAGATGTGTCAATTCTCTTTCCCAAAAAGAGAATAAATTACACTATAAATTATAAATTACACCACACTCCCTGTGTGCAGCCAGGCATACAAAGGAAGACTTCTACTGTTCTTACGCCAGTGAGATTTCTATGCAGACAAACTCTTGAAAAGGCAAAAACTCTGGTTTGGTTTTGTACCTTGGGGTTTTTGTTCACAGCTGCATCTCCCCCATAAATACAGCAGTGCTCACTAAAGCCAGAACTTTCTGAAATGAGCAGTTTGTTTCAACTCTGGTTTCTGCATCCTTTCAGGGCTTTAAAATCCACCAATCGCATTTGTTAAATCCATTTTTACTTGCTGATCCATGATGGCATCTGAGAGCACTGGGTCTGGGGGGCCAGTATGTTCACCAGATATAGGCTTCCATATTTATCCATGTACATGGGTTGGGTTTAGACAGTTTGTTTAGATAAAATTAGTTCACATGAAAGGGTGTAGGGCATGATTCTGCTTTCACTGAACTTTCAAGGTCTTCGGCGGGCCAATGTTTTATTTTTGTCTGTACTTTTAGTATTGTTACTAGTAGTGTAGTAGAGAGCCGGGAGTCAGGCTTTGATCTTGGCCTCAAAATGTGACTTTGGTAGAGCAGCATTATTTTCAGCTTCTTCCATGGGCTTGTGGTTCTCATGCTTTGTCAGCTGATTATCTGTGTGCAAGGAGCTTGGTTTTACTCAGTCTTAATCTCAGTAGGGTAAGAGGTTTAAGAGCCTGCCAGACAGATTATAGCTCTAATTCCTCCATGTGTGCTTTCATTACATGTACACTCCATGGTGACTTGAAATTTATTAGACTACTTGCATGTGTAGGCTTTGTTAGGAGGTGAAAAAGAGTATTTAAATAAAAATCATGGTCAAGATCCCTCCTGCTCACATGGATGGGATACCATAGCATTGCTAATGTCAGTGCTAACTGCATCCTAATTTTACTGGAAACTCTCTTTTTGCTGATTTTCAGGATAAGAAGGTACATTTTATTGGTACAACTGCTGTAGCTATAGAAAGTATCTTCCATTTTTGAAGTTACATAAAGTAAGACTTATTTAAGTGATTTTTTATTACTTGCCTTCTGCTGAAGGATGAAAACAAATAGTTGCTTCTTTCATGTCCATTAATTTACAGTTAGGTTCAAAAGTAGCATATGTAAATGGAGTATACAGGTTACTTAGCATAGATGTAACACCTCAAATTCAATTTAAAGTAGCATTTGTGTTTCAGGGAGATTCCAAACTGGAAATTTTCCTGAATGAAAGTGCAGGAAACTTTTGATAGTGTGTTCTAGATTCAGCAATAAGAGTCCAGATTATGTATGTACTTGTGTCAATATAAATTTTATGCTGGTTTAGAGGCATTGATGTATTCTTACAGAAAGTACTGTAGAAGGATTTTAAAGATTTTTAAGAGACTTTAGAAAAGGTATTTTAGAATGAAATTAATGCCTTTGAGTCAAAATTGGTATGCACATGGTGCATACTGGAAGCATTTAAAAAGTACAAGTACAGTAACAGAGAATTAGCCTTCTTTTGAGAGCTATGTTTCAGGAGCAGATTTTTTATAAATATAAAATCAACAGCTATGTAATTATTTAGACAGTAAGAACATTTTAAAAGAGCTATATCTTTTATAATGAAATATGAAATTATGTAAGTACTCCAGTTTGCAATTAATGCAGCATCTCATGATCAATACTGAAAAGTGATTTATGTTACAGAATGCATATTATCTATTACTATATTTGACAATATTTAGAAAATGTAAAGCAAGGAACCTAATTTATAGGTTTACATTTCTTTCAAAAAACTATGAAATTGTGGAAATAGCTTTTTGTTTAAGCATGACTGTAAAGTCAAATATGGCTATATTTATCAACATAATTTGAAATCTTTGAGTAAGTTTGCCAAGTTATCAGGGTTTTTTCTGTTTTAAATCTTGATCTACACATTGATCTCCAATTCAAATAATGCTTGTGGAAACTTTCTAAAGTTTCCTACGTGCGCTCTTTCTTTATAAAACATTTATTCCAAGCAAAGGTATCAAATATTTAGTTGTTTCTAAACTTGAGTCCACGCTTAAATAGTTTTAAAGGGTATTTTGAAAATATTTCAGCTGTGATCAGCATGCCTTTGGTGATTTGAAGGAATCAATCTGCACTTATTAGCAGCATTTGCGGTTGTTGTTGGTTACCCTGACAGAATCCTGGAGTATTTTTTCCTCCACCTTCCCAAACAGTCTCAGAGCAGCATTACACTGGTTTTTGGTCAGTCTGGACCAAAGACAAAAAAACAGGTTTTGTCTTTGGTCCAGCCTAACGTGACCCTTTGAGCGTGATTCTTTGTGTCCAGTGCTGCTGGCTGTTAACGATTTGGGAAAAAATAAAAAATTATTACAGAAAAACAGGACTCTGAAAAATAAAAAGGGTGATGGCAGGGCCCAGAGGAGATGATTTTGGTTTATTCCTGAGGCGTGCAGAGCTCTGTTGGCAGTGGCCCCTGTCACAGGCAGATGCCACAGCTGGGATCGTGGTTATTGCTGAGCTCTGTGACTCCTGTGGGATCTGAACCCCTTGGATGGGATCGTGGTTATTGCTGAGCTCTGTGACTCCTGTGGGATCTGAACTCCTTGGATGGGATCATGGTTATTGCTGAGCTCTGTGACTCCTGTGGGATCTGAACCCCTTGGATGGGATCACGGCTCTTGCTGAGCTCTGTGGGATCTGAGATCCCTGGTACTGAGTTTTCAGCCTCCAGCCCCCAGGTGCAATATGCCATGGTCTGGCCTGGCTCACTGCCAGTCCTCTGCCCACTTTTGCTGGCCTAAGAAGGGCCGTGCTGTTTCCCTTTTTTGTGGTGTTTCCTTTTTTTTTTTTTGTGAGGACCTTGCAGGGACAGCATGCTCACTGGAGGTGATGGATTAATTAATTAATTAACGATGCTGTTGGAAGCCTTTGATCACCCACATTGGGTGAAGCTTGGGTGTATATTCTAAGGTGTGTCCACTACTAACCCGTGAGTGCTTCAGAACTGGGACCACCTTCTTTAAGGCCATGGTGGAAAATTTGACTAAAGACTATAGAATAACGGGGTTGAGTCTGTAGTACTACTGCTGCTTCATGTGGTTGTGGTATTTAGGTCCGTTTTTCCCCAATGTGTAGAATTTTAACACAGCACAGGAACTCTAACCTTTCATGCAATGACTTTCTCCAGATATGCTGCATTAAAGGTGAATAACCTGACCCTTGGCTTTTGCAGAGTAATGGAAGATTTCATGTAGCATTTTGCATCTTAAAAAAAGTCCTTGTACAGGTTTTGCTTTTCTAGTCCATGAAGGAAACTTGTATTTGCTATGATACAAATATGCTGAAAATGTAACATTTTATTTCTTCATAATGGATTTTTTTGCCTTTCTTTTGTGTTTGCTCATGCATTAAATCAG